TTTTAATATCTCGAATGAATTTGGATTGCTCAATTATTTTCTGTTTTGCTGTTATACTTGAACTACGAGTCCTTCTATTCTCCACCATGAGGCGGTCGAAAAAGGTGTTTAAAATTCTTTGGTCAGAGTTAACAATGTGAGAAGCAGTCTCTTCTCTCTCTTCTTTCGGCATTCTTGCAAATTCGGCGGCAGTGATGTTAGATGTTAGTCTGATAGCACCAGCGTTGTCCTCAGAAGCACTTATACACGAACCAAATTTAGGTTTTTCAATAATATCAGCACTAAACGAGCGAGGTCGTAACAATGTGGTCGTGCAATTTTGTTTTAAAATAACTGGCGAAGAATCTATGTCATTTTTTTCTGTAGAAGTAGCAGGAGTCGTCAAACATGGAGGATTTGAAACTACGGTAATGGTAGGGTGTTCATGGCCGTTGAACTTTGCAACGTTGGGCGCCGAAACTTTAGTGTCATCGTGCACCGAATGCATTCTACCTTTTTCCGCAATAAAAAGTTCGTGAGCTTCGTGAATATTCTTAGTCGATGATATATCTGATTCGTATAAATAGTTTTCACCAACGTTAGTGCGGTTTCTTGAACATTTATTATCTCCGGATGAATTAAAGCATGTTGGAGAAAACCGACGACTGCTCATTTGAAAATCATTTGAAATATGGCCAGTCAAGTCGGCAGAAGCTGAAGATGTTGGTTTCACCAAAACATCACCAACGTCAGATTTAGTCAGTTGGCTTTTCGGAACTCTAAATGGTTGGGGGTTTTCTGTCGATCTATTCCTGTTTTGAAATTGCATCGATTGAATGTCGGAGTTGGATGAATGCGATCGAGTTTTAGTACCTACAATTCCTTCAAAAGTTGGCAAAATTTCTGCAGAAATATTGCACACAGAACTTCTTTTATCACCATCATTGTTATCTATACAAACGGTTTGATCTTTTAAAAACCTTTCTTCAACATTGGCTGTCGAGTTTTCGCTTTCATTGATTTCACTTGAACCTTCTTCATTTGTGAGAACATTTCCACGTTCTTCCATATCTGATCCAATATATTCGCATTCACTATCAACGAAAGAATAACGTCGAAATTCGTTGTATGCTACAGGCGAGTCAAGTTCTTGAACTGGGGAGCCTACAACAATTTTTCCCAATTGGAACAAGCGTGGAGGCTTAGGAGGGCCGGTGACATCGGCATGCATGGTTAGGTCTGCAGCAGTCGGTCGCTTCTTGCGTTCGAACGTTCGATCTGTGAAATGTTGTACCGTCGACTTGCACTTGGCATAAATCTCGTCTGTTGAACCGTAACTTGACATTCTATCTGATATTCGTTTACGGAGACCTTTTCTTTCGACTTCCATGTTTGGACTCAATCTGTTGGGTTTCAGGCCGCACACGAAATCAACGTCATCCATGTTTATGTTCGAAGTAGATCTGGACTTTTGAATGTTTACAGAGCTTTTGGTTTCTTGACACTTGATATGCTCCAAATAACGGTCTCTCACATGAGGAATGCGTTTCTGATAAATACTTTCATTACGTGCGGGTACGAAAGGCTCAACATTTTCAACGTCGGTTTCTGGAGATAGACAAACATGAATGCGAGGCAACTCATACGTCACTCGACGCTCGTCAGCTTCTAGTTTTAGTTCAGACGGCCGTTGAGGAGCTTCGAAAAAAGTTTCCTTCAGTTGTCTTTCGCGATGGTTAATAGATTTGGACTTTTCTGCTTGATCTTGTTCAGTAATCCATTGATTAGGAGTAATGTTAACAATATTGTATTTTTGGCTTTCCATCGTTTCAAACTTTTCAATCATGTGAGAGACTGTGCCACAATAAGGGACAAGTTTCCGTTCGACATATTTATCATTGAAACTTACTGTTCTTCCGACAAAATCGCCATTTATTTTCTGAACAAAACCATCTTCAGGACTAACAGCCCATAGCTTGTCTTCAGGACGGGTTTCTTTTCGCGTTTCTATTTGTGAACAATCCTCTGGTTCAGATGCACTTTGAACATAAAATTTGCTGTCAAACAAAATGTCATCATTTGCTCGAGCGATACCATGCTTTGAAAACTTGAGAGCCTCCAAGTCTAAATCACTCTTTGATCGGTTCTTACCTCGTCCTACGTAGCGTCGTATTGCAGTAAAAGGCCGACGAAGCAGAGAAGCCTCGTTTGCATTAGAATCCGTTTTACATTTTTTGCTAGTATTAGACGAGTCATGGCTAGTGAAGCTGTTCATGGATGATGTATCTCCGCCTTGATAGTCAATTTGATTGCCGCTCAATTCCCTATAGTCGAAATGATAGTTTATTAAAGCTGGTTCGGTTGCACAAGAACTGAGGCGTTGTTCAAAATTGTTTCGTAGGCTAGAGAGTTTTGCAGAAATTTCCGATCTAGCGCTGTCGGTGGAATAAATCGAAATGCCGTCTGAATCGCCTCGCGGACGTCGCTGAATAAAGTCATCCCTGTTATCATTTTCCAAGTCTGGAGGACAAGACCAGCGCTTTTCTTTTTTCGTGACGTTATGAAGTTTGTTCATTCCTTTATTGAAAGATCGCTTCAAGCTCGCAATGGGGTTATTGTCCTCAACAAATTCATACGTAAAGGACTTATCAAACTTTACCGATTTTCTTTGGTCCTCACTGGTAGACTCGCTTGGGTCTGACCTCTTCACTCTTAACTCAACATGGTCTTCGCTTACCATGGCGTCTGGTAAAATTGGTTGAAGATTATTACCGTACTTTTTCTTGACATCTTGGTGTTGAGGCTGATTATTTTGTTGTTGTCTTTCCTCGTAAGTGCATTGGCTAAATAAAACGTGTGGGGCATTGTGTTGATAAGCACGGGGAACAGGTGAGAGGTGACTCACAGGTTGTGAAAAACCCGATTTCTTATTTCCAAAGCGTCGATAGCTTTCTGGAATCTGAATTTTTGAATGATACAAGTTCTGCAATTCGAAGTTTTTTTCTTTTATTTCGTTTCCTGCTGATGTAATTTTTTCATTTTTCTGCGCTTGAAAAACTTTAAGATGTTCTTGGTAATAAGGTTCAGCTTGCTCAGGCCGTTCAACGTAGAAGGTCGAAGAAGAATTCTGAAAAGTATTTCTTCGGTTGACTTTGGCAAATACTGGTCTTGAATCTCCGTCATTGTTGCCTTGGAAGTGTTTTGAAGAGATATCACGAACGTATGAGCCTGAGTATGGATTCGACATTTCTACAGTTTTGGCTCGTTCTTTGTCGCGTTCTCTTAAAATACGTTTCACTTCTTCTTTAGAACGACGATACGGGATATTCTCGTTCGGAATTAACTCAGTGACGACATCAGATGAGGACGTGAATCTCGTTACGGTGCTATAAGGCAACGTCTCTTCGTCGTCTCGTCTCACATGCTCCTTTATTTCCTGAGAAGGGGGTGTGGTCGGCGACGAAGCTTGTATAGACCTGCATGAGTCACTGCGGGTAACAACTTTTGACACCGAATCAGGTGATCTGCAGCCACCGTGACCTGTCACTTCACGCACTTTTCGTTTTACGTACTCGTAGGAACGAGGAGGTATATTGGTAAATTCAAATTGGATATGACGTTTCTTATCCATATTTCCATATGTTACCGTACTTAGATAAACTGACCGCAAGTATTATTTCCTTGTAAGTTCATTTCTGCTCACGACCTCAAATTTCAATTCGCACAAAAATCAAAATAATGTCACTGCACTTGAACTTAGGTATCAATACCCCGGTGCAACGTTAGTGAATGTGATGCTTCTAAAATATTAAAACGAACCGGACGATAAACATACGATGTGTAAAGACGAGCACTAGAGCCATACTGCAGCACAGTGCCTGGGCAGCACAAGTGTTACTCGGATGAGAAATTTCACCTCTTACCACTCACGTCGCAATCGTTGCAAAAAACGTTAAGTTTTCTAGACCAGAATAAAAATAAATAGAATAAATATGTAAAATGGGCCGTAATATCTAGTAGATAATACACATTTTCGAATTTTTATTTTAATTCGCTAAACGGAGAGGTTCTTATTTCACAATTATTTGAAAAAGACAGACAGGATCACTGGCAACCAGACCCAACACTCCGACTACACCTGTTGGCACGATATGTAGCGCACACCTGCTCAAACACATGCTGGATGATCGAACTTCAACTATCATACTTGACAGCCAATTCTCGAAATTTCCATAGGAATACATTGGCAGACTATACATTCGTGCGCTATGATGTGAAAGGTATCATATTTGAATCCCCCTCTCCAATCGCCACGAGGTTGAAATATGTTCGATCATGAGAAGGTTCAGTAGTGTGAGTCACTGCAAGAGTCAACAGGAGACTTGAGTGCAGACTTGTAGACGTGAAACATGACAACAATAACAACACCTGCAGCCTGTCACTTCATCATGAGCTATCATCACAGGCATTAGATTTAGCTGATTAATAAAAACCACATATTCATGAATAGATTGAAGATTGAAATGTTGAGTGAAAATCAGCCGAAGATATGGACTAAATTTCAAATATAATTAATCGTTATTTAATTACAAATAAAAAATACGATTTTATTTCTTTAAAAGCGAATAAGGTAATTTGAGATTTTTAAAGTATTTTTCAGAATATTAAGAAGGCAGGTAAAATTAGTATATATATGAACACTAAGTGCGCTCTCCACTATTGCCTGCGCATGGATTCGGAGAGGGATTTCACTGTATGAAAGCAGCAGAGAAATTGCCTTCAAATTTCGATTGAACACAAAAACAAATATATTAATATAGTGTGGTAACATAACATAGTGATGTCGGCGCTGAAGAGTAGGCCTGATGAGGCATGCAGAAAAAGGTCTTCAATAGCATTATCGGACAAATTGTTTTTAGATGCATTCCCTCGAGAGTAAGCTATACGAATTATTTTTAAATATAAGTTGATGAGAATATTAATTAATTATTATTAAAAGATAATAATATAATACCACTCACCGGCCGATGATCCGACCAGAAGCTTTCCTCAACACCGGTGATCTTGTAAAGACGTTCACCCAAGTAAATCTTCTCGTTCTCCAGTTTGTGTATCGCTTTCTGTTGCTGGCCACACTCCTGCAACAACAACAATACCATTAATTATTATTTTTGTAGACAATAACTTTTTTATTCTCGTTTTTGAATCGATTCCACTCACCCCAGTTGGGGATAACTAAAAAATTGCCACATCCCACACACTAAATTAGAATACAAAAACATGAACAATTACGGAAAATTGATAATTCCATACTAGAACAAAGCACAAGGTATTAACTGTCCTGAATTCAGTATTTTTACTGTATAAAAACGAGCTGCTTTTTCGCAAAAATTTCTGGCAGTCGTAAAAAATTGCAGTTAACGTCGGACGGTATACTCACGGTAGAATAGAGGCTTTTTACCACCAATCAATATAGCAAATATACCGCTCTAAATGGCAGCTAACCATCGAAATAATATGCAATTACACTCATAGTGAAACGAGATGTGATAAGAAGATACAAATAAGCCGCAACATTTCACAAAAGATTTTTTTTATCCAGTATTTATGTTTATGGTTTCTGCTGCATTTCCCGTTCTTGCTGAAGTTCAAGTCCACCCCATAACGTTCTTTGCATATATTGAAGACAAAGAAAACGGTGAAATACGCCCGGTAACTTCGTTCATTCGAGTGGATGGGCCTTGTTATGTAATTAACATTTCACAACCGTTTTTACGTTGAATACAACTTTACAAGTAGTATGGACTATATAAGTATAAATTTAAATACAAATTCATAGCACGAAGCAGGGACTATGCACATAGTTGAATGAAAATTTTTTTTAAAATTGTTGTAAAATTCTGTAACATATAACTAAGGCTAAATTACAGGAATATATTGGATACCTTGCCATGAAGTTAGGACAAGTAAGTAAACTATTACCACTACTACTAGCGTCGTGATGATGACGTAATGAAACATTGTAATTGAAAATTGCAAATCTATTAATAGGTTGTAGGGATTGTGTTAAGAACCAAAGAATAACTTGGCATAACATGAGCGTGTAAGGGAGAAAAGCAAGACGTTCATAGTTATGATCTTAAATATCTTAAAATATTGGTCGCTCTCGTTAGAGAAATAAGGTCAAGTGGAGTCCAAAAAAATGAAGTCAACTGTGAGGTTTCTTTAGTCAAAAAAAAAAAAAAAAAAACGCCAAAGAACAACAGACGTCTGCAGCAAAACGAAGTGTGGATGGAGTGAAAATAAAGTCGAAATGAAGGGCATATAATATATCAAATAACAATCACTTCCTTCGGCTTAAGAATCTGTGAATCTTCGGCTTAGGACTGAAGTAAAATTCTGTCAAATTATTTCATCACTTTGGAAATCTTCATATATAGGACCTCATAATCGAAATAATTTATTTTGTAGGTCTTTAACTTCTCTGCAGCAATGTTAATGAACGCTGTTTTCCAATGTAACCCTTGTAAATTGAATAAGTGAATAATTGTGTGAAAGAAATATTTTTAAGTTGCATGTTGCAATTCTCGTGGAGCTGTAGAATAGCAGACCATCAGCTTCATGACTTTTATAGAAACTGACCGAGTTTCTGAAGACAGTCACGTGCGCTCAGCATGGTCGTACGTCGCAGTCTTTAAAAGTGCAAGCGAGTGAGAATGCAACGGTAATGTTTTAAACCTTAATGTCAGGAAATAAGCGCGAAACTGTCCAATGAAGCCAATTTAAAAGTTGCCCCAAGGCGAACATATTTCACTTAAAACTGGAGCTATTTAGTGCCGGCCAATCGTCGGCCAGTCATGCATCGGTAACCAATTTTCTTAATATATGTGGTTTTAGACCGTAATTTTTGGTAAAGTAAAGACACACGAAGAACAAGAAATAAAACAATCTGTCAAGGTTTGTGGGAAGTGCGCTTTACTGTCATCCCAGTCGCATTTTACGCTAGCAGTTCGTTGCCACTGATAAATTAGTTGGTTTGCTTCGATTGAATAAGTAATTCAATAGAAGAAAATATCTTACGATCACGTGTACAAACTTGTGTGGCCCCCAAAAAAATTCATCGCAATGATTAAAATGTCACACAATAGGACTAATGCAAGGCATCATGCATGGCAGATGATTGAATCATGACTTACTAGTTACAATCCCAACTCAAATTGATGTTTTAAACAGAAAAATAAGTGAGTGATTTTTTTTTCAAGAACCATTCTAATAAATTGCCTCGTAATGAGCTGAAGATCGGATCCCATGATGAGATCTCGCATTTAAATTGATCACAAGATCGAGGACACATCATGACTCAGCATTAATTACATTTGAATTATGTCCTAGATTGTACAAGGAAATGGAGAACGCACGAGAACCTTCCACAAGTTCTTAACATTTGTCATTCTGTCGCCAGCGAATCAGGCGGCAAAATGACGAAAATCCTGGAATTTAACGGTCCAGTACAAAAATGAGAACCAGAAATAAAGTTCTACTAGTATGAAATCTAGAAAATATTTAATTGTTTCCCAAATATATCCTTGTTTTATAATTAAAAATGTTTAATTAACAGTTTTGTACTAAATATTTTAAGCAGGTGTTGAATATTTACAAGAAGTCAGATAAAATAACTTTTTAAAATTATAAATAGAATAATTTATGAATCTATTAAAATTACGAACAAATATGTACCACCTAGGCAATAAGCTAACTAAGCCAAGGCAATAAGCTCATGTTTTTCGGCATTAGTAACAGCCTGTCAATAATTTCTTGTTTTGAGGAGGATAAATAAAACTTAAATAAAATAAATAAAAATAACTCTCATTAAAACAGCAAATTTTAATGAGACTCATTTAAAAAGTCTCATTAAAACAGCACAGAAACTACAGATTCAGTAGCACCAGTTGAAGTCTCATGTCACACGTCCCAAATACGTGTGACCAAGTCACGTTCAAGCAAAATCAAGTTCTTCCACTACAATTCATTGATTTCTTTAGCGAACTTGGAGGATTGTCACACGTCCCAAATACGTGTGACCAAGTCACGTTCAAGCAAAATCAAGTTCTTCCACTATAAATTCATTGATTTCTTTAGTGGACTAGAAAAAAATACGACTCGATTGCCTATTTTACGCTACCGTCGCACGAAAAATTGCACCTGATCGTACACGAAATGTAACTAGTCGATAGTGTTTTTCCAAATCAATTTAATTCACGGCAGTAGAAGGCTTTCAGAGCGATGTTTATATTGCTCAATATTAGCCGGGACAATCACATTACATAATTCAAGCCATAAGTAAAAAAACTTGTTCACATTGAACATTCGCTAGAAGCAACTTATGAGAAGCGTTTGACGTGAATGTTCTCACGACTTGATAGCAGCATCCAAAATTGACACATTTTAGAATAATAACAAATCACAATGAGTCTCCATCGGATAATTATCGTCAAAATTTACGAGAACTCAAGGACAAGTAACTAGCGACTGCATTGTCTGCATGAGAGACGGTATAAAAATTAGAGCTCCCGAAACAACGTCTCGGAACAATAAGAACAAAATCCAATAACTCGGATGATAAAATTTAGCACTGGTGCTGGAATTGAGGCGTGCTGGATGAGAAGTTTTAACGTTATTTTCGTTCAAGCATGAATGCCAGCTTTCGAGGAACCGTGAGTAATGCATTGTTTAGAAAGCCCCGAGCCTCCCTATGCAGTAAAGAAGAATTGTAAGAAATTCAATGTGAATGGCGTTGCATGTGAAGTGGTTAACAACAACAAGCCATATTGAAATTCACTTGTTAATGTCTCGCGTCTTTGATTGACAATGAAGAAAAAATACAAGAAAATTCTGAGAAAAAAGCGATCGATGAAATAGGGGAAATAAATGGAAATCAATGTTGACTGGTGATACACATCACGATTGAGATAAAGAAAGAAGAATTGAAGAGAAAAAGCACCGGCATGGAGTCCGTTCAACCTTCACTTCAGCCTTGAAGGATTGGAAGCTCCAGTGAGCAGGATAACTATAATACAAATCCTCTCGTGGTTTACAGGCGGTTGAAAGTTGGCCAACGCTGATCCATCTATGATTTAAAGTAGGGAAGATCAAGTGATCGCTTGACTTGAGACGCCGGACCTTGCGCGCTGTAATAAAGTGAGTATTGTGACCACACGCGCACTCGCGACGCTGGACATGGCGTGTTATAGTGAAGTGAGCGGCAGAAATAACTATAAGATTTAGGCCAACTGAAGTAACTGACAAATTTTGAAGCATGCGAGGATGTATAAGGAATACTGAAAACAAGCGCGATTAGTGGTCACGTATTTAGAGTCGAACAACTTTAGATACATTTTTACAACAGACAACGTAGAAAATTCTTAATGTTTAGTGAAGTGAGCGGCAGAAACAACTATAAGATTTAGGCCAACTGAAGTAACTGACAAATTTTGAAGCAAAGAGAGGATGTATGAGGAATACTGAAAACAAGCGCGATTAGTGGTCACGTAGTTAGAGTCGAACAACTTTAGACACATTTTTTACAACATACAACGTAGAATCGCCAAACTCCCAAAATTCATAATGATTCGAACTTCAAAATTTAGTTGCCGTTCAATAAATAGAATAGACGCGCAGTAGCACAGCGACTGAAATCTGGCGTTCATCGTTCTCACTTTTTGATTATTAATTAGGAGATAGTATGAGAAATTGTTTCAAACATTAGAAAAGAAAATTATACATAGTAGCATGAACATTTAGCGTAGTATAGGGTAGGTGATGTGTATTCACATACAACCAATTTAGACCCGGAAGGTAACGCATATATAATGCATTTGATTGTCCTTTCTAACTCCCCTGAGAAAAATCTCCGTCGTAATATCGGTGGCCACTTAATAGGTGACGATGACAACTGATATATCTTACTTAAGGATCGAAAGGATTCTTAGGATAGATCTTAAGCCAGGGATCGAAAGGATTCTCATGAAAGATTGTATCCTACGTGAAGGATTATTACGGGATGAACGAGGGTTGCACCACAACCTCAACCTCGAGTTGCACGCAACGAAGAGCGTCGAGGCGAAAACACATAAAAATT